TATCAGCTACCAGATCGCCGTCTGAGTTAACGAGACTGTCCAGCCTGACGGTTACCCTCCATGGCGTTCCGTGGACCAGTGTCTACAGGTGGAGGCAGTATGACCATCGGATGGGTACGATGTGTAGCCGAGAATCACAGACTGAGTTGACTGTGATGCCAGCTGCAACATTCAGCATCTCTTCCAATTTGGATAACTAGGGGAGCCTTCATTTGTGCTCTTCATCAACTGTCACCCTATCACCTCGATCATTTTTTGGTGAGACCTCGCTGTCCGTGAGCTGATGAGTGATGCGGTGACAAGGTGAAAGAACCGACTATAACTTATGTTCAAATCCGACACCATTAGACTCTTTTCCTATGCTAACGTTTTCCAAGTTAATGTCGTACCTGCATAACTTAATAAAGTAAGGCTGAGTAGAGTATACAGCAGCAGGAATGCGAATTTAATGATTGGCCTCTGCATGCAATTTGGAGTGTGCAGTGCATTCCAAAAGATCCTGGTCCGCTTTATTTGCATCAAATACTAAATATATTAATTTTTGTGCATTGTCGACTTGAAGGAGTGTCGACTACTACAACATATATATATTTGTTCTTCGTCCACATTTCTAATGCACATGTACGAGCTAACTTCCTCCAATTCATCGCATTCCTTGGGAGTGCTTTGCAGAGCCACAAATCCAAGTGTTCAGTCGCCTGATTCTCATGACTGCTGGAGGCGTAACGGCCAAATGTGATCATTTGTTGATCAAAGATCCATAAGATCATGCCAACTCATGCGATTCATGAGTATGGGCTTGAGCATGGACACATTTGAAATGCCAACCTTAATAATCCCTGATAGACAAAGACTTTAGGACAGAGCTGTCGATCAAGGCCATATGACGATAAAGCAGGAGAAGTGCGACTGTGTATGCGCCTCCTTTGATTGACGACTGAAGTACATGTGTGGACATCTCTCCTTTGGATTCACTGCATTCTCACTGGACTTTTTCCTAGAGTGGTTAGTCGTGTATTTAAAGTGGGTGGTCATCTTCTACTGCATTGAAGAAGGAGGAGAAGGTGGATGTACCCAATACATGACTTTCCATAAGCAGCTCCTAGATGCAGGAAGTGATTTTTCACCAGACCGGTCAGTCAGCTCAAGTAGTGGAAAGTGTGGCATCCACTTTTCCCCATGGTCATTGATTCCAGTGATTCTTACACAATGCAGTGCATGTCACACCCTATTCAGTGATGGATTCTGACACGCATGCTGAGTCTCAGCTGTGGCCAAACCTCGCGTAGAGGCAACTCAGTGAGGAGTGACGAGTATCCACTCCTCAGTATACATTTTCAGTCCGATTTCGACAAAAGGCCATCTCCATCTCATGCTCAGTTTTAGCATTCTCAAGGAAGACAATGTGCTCCTTCTTCTTCTTCTTCTTCTTCTTCTTTGAAGTCCTGTGCATCCATTTCCTCCGAAGTCGAATAGAGAGTTTGGGGCTGTTCATCGCTGAAGCCTTACTGCACACCTTCTCCTTCTTCGTAAAGGCGTATGAGGAGAGAGCTGCTTCAATGGCAGAAGTTGAATGAAATCAAGTCTCATTCTCTTTTGCTGAGACAGGCATGCCAATGACAAGTTTGCCAACGTCACTTGTCTAGGAGATGTTAATCAGTCTCCGAATGGTAGATGTATGTGTGTCACAATCACGTCTGAACAAGCCCGTGTCCAGACCCATGACCAAACCTATCGACACCGCCATTCCGAATGACAGTGCCATTATGAATGCTCATCAGTAGAGCTACACTGACAATCCAACTTTAAACAATCGCCTGCCTTTACACTCCGTTTCAATGAGGGTGTTAGCACTTGTTGGGTGGAGCCAAATTTAGAGTCACCCGATAGAAAAGTAATTGATTCAAACAGTTTGGTCACTTTTAAAAAGCCACCAAAGTCCGAAGTAATTAAACGACTTCGTCAGTCAACTCCTAGCAAATTCGAATTCGCACACCGAAAGGAGTAGAGCAAACATTTGCATCGATATAAGGAGCACTGTGAGACGCTGGACGTGGAATGGACAAACGCCCGCGCTGACGCACACTTCTACACGTTGCTCCATGAAGGTCACCTGTGTTTGCAGATTGCCGAGTAGCTGTGCAGTGCAGGTGAAAAGCTCCAGATATGGAGAAGTTCCACGCCATCTCAATAAACATGCACTGTTTACTCTGCTGGGTAGAAATTCCAGAGAT